AACTAAAATGAAGGAAAAGCAAACTCCAGAAAAGTGTGACCACCATGACAATATCTCCTTGTAACCTTCAAGAATATGAATCAAAATGAAGGAGAGAGCAGATGAAACATTACCAATGTTATTACAGTGTTGTATAGGAAGAATCCCAGATTAACAAAGGAATATAACCAGAAGTCTTCAAAGAATGACTTGTTTGTTTTTGAAGATCAAGAATCCCTCTGGTGATATTCTGATGCTTTCCTTCCCAGCAAGTGGAAGATTAAGTTTGTATTCAAATTCATTGAATATATAAACTTACTATGAATCATAGTATGATACATTACTATTAGACCACTGTGTAAACCACCCTTTCCTTATTATTCTTTTTTTTTTTTTAGCTTTTTTTGGTGAGGCAATCAGGGTTAAGTGACTTGCCCAGCATCACACAGCTGCTAGTAAGTATCAAGTGTCTGAGGCCAGATTTGAGCTCAGATCCTCTTGACTCCAAGGCTGGAGCTCTATCCACTGCACCACCTAGCAGCCCCCCTTATTATTCTTGAGAATATGGTATGTAGTCACAGAATCACAGAACCATGGAGTTGGAAGGGGTCTCAGAGACTATGTAGTTCAACCCATACTCAAACACAAATCCAGTCTATAACATTCCCACTAAGTGGTCCTCCTTTCCTGGGAAGTCAGTCAATAACCATTTATTAAGCACCTACTATGTGCCGGGTACTATGAGAGGAGCTGGGGTTATAAAGAAGGGCAAAAGATGTTCTCTGATGAGAAGGAACTCACTAAATTCTGAAGGAGTCCATTCTATTTTTGAATTGCTCTGATTATTAAGAAATTTTTCTTTAGAGTAAGCCTAAATTAGCATCTTTTCAACTTCCCTTTATTGTTCCTACCTTTAATGTTTAGAGTACAGACCAAATCTACTAGATTACCATCTTCCAACTGTTTCAGATAGCTACCATGTTTCCCACTCACAAATATAGTAAATATTGTGAGTTTCTTCAACCAGTCCTCATAGGGCATGATTTTAAGCCCTTCACCGTCTTGGTTATCATCTTCTAAGCTCTCTACCTTATTAATATCCTTCTTATGGGGTGGGCAGAATGAAACATAATACTCGAGATATGATCTGATCAGGGAAAAGCCTAGGAGATCTGTCCTGCCTCCTTAGGCCTGAATACTATGCCATTCTTAATGTTGTCTGAAGTTGCATTAGCTTTCCACGAAATTCACTGTGATCATGTGGTGTATGATGGGTAAAAGGCAACCTCTTTCTTATGCTTCCCATCAGCTGACTGCCTAGAATCCATTACCCAAGCACTATCTCCTACCCAGGAGAAAGAGACCACAAGGATGTTTTTAAGGTTTAATATCACATGAAAGCAAGGAACCATGATTATAATTTAGTTAGTAGTTAATAAATGTGCATTAAACACCCACTACCGCTGTGCTAAATGCTAGGGATACAAATATGGAAAAAGAAAGACAGTCCTTGCCCTCAAGGAGCTTACAGTCAAATATAGCAGCTTACAGTCTAGTGGAATTTCAATTCTCCCCTGGAACGATCGAATGAGTATTTTATCAAAAAGAACCTGAGGAAAGAAACAAAATTGTTACATGACCCAAAAAAAGATCTGTTTATTGGAACAGTTCCTTCCTTCCATCCTGAAATACCATCAAGCACATAATATGTACTAGATAATTGTAGGTCAAATAAAACCTTGATTTCAAGGAGGTTATAATCTAATATATGAAATAAGCTATGTGGCTCAGGGGATAGAGCACTAGGCGTGGAGTCAGGAAGACCTGAGTTCAACTGTGACCTTAGACATTTACTAGCTGTGTAAGTCACTTAACCCTGGGCAAGTCACTTAACCCTGTTTGCCTCAGTTTCCTCATCTGTAAAATGGAGAAGGCAAACCACTCCAGTATCTCTGCCAAGAAAATCTCAAATGGGGTCACAAAGAATCAGACATGACTGAAACAACAATGACATACATATTACATGTTTATATAATATGTCTATAAATAGTTGTGTTATAAGATAGAATTGACAAATGAGAGTGCAAAATTATAATAAATTATAATAAATGAATGGATGAATTAATTAAGACATTTACTAAGCACATGCTCTGTGCCAAGTACTTTGCAAAGAGCTAGGAATACAATATAAAAGCAAAGGAAGTCTCTACCATCAAGGAAGGGGACAGCTAGGTGGTGCAGTAGATAGTGTTACTCTGCCATTAGAATATAAGCTTCTTGAGGGCAGAAACTGTCTTTTTGCCTTTCTTTGTGCCCCTAGTATTAGCAGAGTATCTGGTATGTATTACATGCCTAATAAATCCTTATTAATGACAAATGGGGGAGAGGTGGCTAGGTGGAATAGTGAACAGAATGCCAGCCCAAGAGTCAGGAAGACTCATCTTCCTGAGTTCACATCTGGTCTCAGACACTTATTGGCTGTGGGACCTACACTTAACCCTGTTTGCCTCAGTTTTCTCATCTGTAAAATGAGCTGGAGAAGGAAATGGCAAATCACTCCAGTATCTTTGCCAAGAAAACCCTAAATGGTGTCATGAAGAATCAGACACAACTGAACAGCAACAGCAATAACAAACCCTCAAGGAACTTACATTCTAATGGAAGATACAACATACTTAAGGAAATAGTGATCATGGAAGTGCACTTTGAAGAGTTAAGGGAAGAGATTGGAGCCATAAAGGAATAGATTGGCAAGCCTCGTATAGGGACAGTGGGAGAGTTAATTTGATAACAGTTCATGATTCCAGATCTAGGGGTAGGGGCAGGAAAGGCTCTATTGCTAAGGGGCTTAGAGTGACCTTTGTGGAGGGCATGGCCAGAGAGAAGAAAGTGAACAACATCACTACCAGGAGAGGCAGTCACTAATGAGGGGAATGTGGCCCTGAAGCAGAAGCGTTACCAGACCATGGTCTTTGGTATGGGCTGAAGGGGATCAGTGAGGACCTATAATGAATAGCTGACTTGTATATAGTATTTTATATATATAATCCTCACAGTAATCTCCCATGATAGCCTCTCAGATCCCTTCCAGCTCTAAGTTTATGTTCTTATGATCACATGAAGTAGATCACATGATCACAAAATACAGCAAAAATATGATCGTCACATTTTACTGAGGAGGCTAAGGAAGTTGAAACTCAGAGAAGTTAAATGACCAAGGTTATAAATTTAACAAATAATAAAACTAGGCCCAAGGAACCTAACAGAATTAGATCTTAAAATCCAATTTTTTTCAAATTATAAACACTTTTTAAGAATGCCATGATGGTTCAGGGGAAGGCAAGATCATTTTCAATGGGGGAACTAAGAGAAACTTCATGGATGATGTTATTCATGAGCTTAGTTTTGAAGTAATATGAAAAGTATCATCAGTCTTAGATAGGAGACAAAGGGCATCATGGTGGAGAGAGAACAGTGTAAGCAAAGATACAAAGGCAGGAAGGTACCAGACACATTTAGAATAATCAATTTGTTGGGAGGGGGGTTGTTTTGTTTTAATTCATAGCTCTTTATTTTAAACTATATTTATTTTAAAATTTTTGAGTTCCAAATTCTCTCCCTCCCTCTAGTCCCTTTCCCCACCCACTGGGAAGGCAAGCAATATGATATAAAGTATACATGTGAGGTCACACATAACACATTTCTATATTAGCTATGTTGCCAAAAAAAGGGTAAGAAAAAAAAAGTGTAAAAAGTGTGCCTCCATCTGCACTCAGAATCCATCAGTTGTCTCTCTAGAGATGGATAGCATTTTTCATCATGAGTCTTTTGGAATTGTCTTGGATCATTGTATTGATTAAAGTAACTAAGTCTTTCACAGTTAATCATTGTTACAATATTGCTATTACTATGTACAATGTTCTCTTAGTTCTGTTCATTTTGCATCAGTTCATTTAAGTCTTTCTATGCTTTTCTGAAACCATCCTCCTTGTCATTTCTTATAGTACAATAGTAGAACAACCAATTTGATTAAACTATAGTATCACAGTTCTAGAGCTATAAGAGTCTCCAAAGTTCATCAACCATTTTTTACAGATAAGTAAGCTGAGACCCATGAAGTGGACCTCAGTAACTTGCCCATGGTCAGAGGTGGAATTTAAACCCAGTTCCTCTGATTCCAGCATCATCATGCTTTCCATTATTCCAGTCATTCTCCCATCCGCCACATAGAGTATGTGAAGGTGAAGAGGGAGAAATAAGACTCGGAACATAGAGTGGGTCCAGACTGTGGAGGGCTTGAATGTCCACAGTAAGTAGTTTGGATTTTATTCAGTAAACAGTAGAATTCTGTTGGAGGAAAGGGAATGAGTGACATAGTCAGGTACATCAAATGAATGTCTCTACAAATGAACTGAAGGGTGGAGCTGTTCCTCAGACTGGAAACAACTAAGTGGGTGACCCAAGGCAGGCAATGCAAAGCAAGAAGCTTATATTATAATAAGTGCTTTCTTACTGGTCAGTCATTTAGCATTGATTAGATAGCTGTTATGTGCCAGACACTGTACTAAGTGCTGGAGATACAAATATAAGCCAAAAGAAAAAAGAAGAAAAGCTGGCCCTGCTTGGGAGCTTACATTTTAAGGGGGCAGGAATGTTCTGGGGTGATGAAACCTCAGGTGCAAAGGGAAGTACCAGAGTGAACTCGCAGCTGTGATATGCTGTGAAAGTCCGGAAAGTCAGCTGCGAAGCCAGGACAGGAAAAGGAAGCAAAGATCTGAAACAAGAAAAGGTAGTATTGAAATAGGGGAAAAGAAATGAGAGCCAGATGCATCAGAAGCTCTGCTTCAACTCTAGCTAAACTTTAGTTAAGTAATGATCAGAAATCTTTACTCTGAAAACTTGTCCATTTTTTTGTGGAATAGGATTTTTTTCTTCAGGAGGAAGCAGTAAGATGTTTGATTTTTTTTTTTTAATGTCCTTACTAAAACTTACTTATTTAAAAAAAAAAACCTTTAATTTAGCCACAACTGAACAAAGAAGAAAAGATAAATCACAGCAAAGATAGATACGGATGAGTCCTGGGCCTAAGGAACAACAGCAGCGTCAAGCCAACCAGCCTCAGAAGCTGGGAAAGGCCAACAGAGGTGGATCAAATAGTAAGTGAGAAAAATATTGTACCACTTTTCAGTTTAAAAAGTGCTTTTCTTACAGTGTTCTGTGAGGTAGATAGGCAAGTATTGTCACCATTTTCCTGATTGGAAACAGGCTCAGAGAGGCTTACTGACTTGTAAGGAGTAGCCAGGAGTAGAACTCAGAGTCAGAGCCAGGTGTTGTGACTACAAATCCCACTGTTCTTTTCACTAGACCATGATGTCAACTCGAAAGGTTAGAGCTGGGCCAACTGGACTATTATCCTTTTTTTTTTTCCCCACTTGGACCATCCCTCATAGCTGAACTGGTCCTATCTTTCATTTCTTTTCTCAGCAATAAATATTTGAAAACACAGACACAACCTGGACTCTCAGTGTTGTTAGGCTATTATTCCCAGATTAGCTTTAGCCATGCAGGGTCTGGAGTTATAGACCCTTTAAACATACATGCATGCACGCATGCACACGTGCACACACACACAATTTATATATGTAAGTAAAGGGGAGGGGGTAGGGTCAGTCAGGGTAGTTTGCTTAATAGATGTGTTACAAATCTGCTTATAATAGGGCCCCCTGTGTTCCAGTAGAAATATTTCTGGAGTTCTCCAGGCAGCCACAACATTTGCAGGGTGTACATTTAATATGTTTTAGCTTTACTGCCTGAAGATAGAATCAGGGACATCTACCTGCACATGAGAGTGCTTTGGCGCTTACATTTGCAGAACCTTAATGTATGTATCAGTAATGAAAATCTTAATTAAGAAAGCTGCATCATTGTCCATGAACACTCATTTTTTTCCCCCTGCAAAGCCCTTTGTGTATTGCAGCATATACCTGGTCCAGACAGACAGAGCCCTGGAAGAGCTTGTCTGGCAGATCTTTTCCTGATTATTAACAGCTAGTGAATGACAAAGTCTCGCTTTCCTTTTGTCTTGATGCAGGGGCTCAGAACAGCAGAGCACACAATGTACTGTAGGGTTTGTTTGTGTGTGTGGCGTGGTTTTTTTTTAACTTGCTTTTATTACACTAGTGAGTTTAGAAATCCGACAGTGTTGATCAAAACTAATTTAGGTAACTTAGAGTTGCCAAAACATAAGCAGATGCATATTTACACATACACTCTCAGAGAAATGTAATTTTCCATATAGAAACAATGAACAAACATAGGAGGGCCCAATTTTTATCAGCCCACCTGTGTTTATAGTATTCTCCCCCAAAAACACTTGAGGGTATGCAGTCTACCCCATTTGTGTGTTCTAAATAATGACTTTTGCTCAAGTGCCAATTTGCACATGGTGCTTTGTCATTTGTATAGAGAGTGATCTGCTTTGGATAACAGAACGACTTTATGCAAACAACTAAATGTACCCATAAAAATTGGGGGACTAATTAAAGTCTTTTGAAAAATTTGGCCCTTGTTTTGTTTGCAAAACAGTCCAACAGTTATGATATTAAGAAATTGTGTTCAATACACAGAAGTTAGTCTTTTTCAAACTTTCCTGCTCCCGAAAGCCCAAACCTTCACACCTTATCATCCCATGATCCTGGATAGGGAATCACCTGGATGGTGAATACAATGGCCCTGAAGAATGTCAACTTACATATATAAAACGGTGTACCACAATCACTTAGCATTCAGTAAGTCTTCATGAGACAGTTACTTATATTCTGGAGGGAACTCATAAATTAATTTCAGTTCTTACTGGCCTTGTAATATTTTCTAGAAGACTAGGGGAGTCCACACTAAAAGAAGTATGCATTGGTCACTGTCTGCTGGTAAATGCACAGAGTTGTCTGAATGCATACATTCTGCAATGTCTGAAGGCAGGCTTCCATGCTGCCTCTGATAAAAAGCAGGAGGAAGGTTTTATTTATTAGCTTTGGTTTCAGAAGTTCACATGTTGTAAGGACATTAGTTCATTTGTTTGTACAACACCATTATGAGCTAAGTAAGGGTCTGTTCCCTGACCACCTGTGCCAACAGAAAAACTGTATCTATCTTGCTTCTCTGTGTCATAAAGGACCTTGCAGAGCTGATATTGTTATGGGTACCTTCTTTTTGAAAAGCCTGGCTATTCTAAAAAACTCACAGTTGTGCAAATTGCTTTTTTTTTTAACTCCAGGAACAGTTTATCCAAAACAGTCAGAAGAGCCTGGCAAAGGGGCACAGTCAGAGTTTTGTGTTGGTGTAAAGGCAGGGCAGGGAGAGAATGCTGTAATTCAGAGATTAATTGTCTTGAAAGATCTATGATTTAAGAAACATCAAGCTCCTCTGTCGTGATGTCTAAGACAACAGTGAAGCCAATGGTCTGAATACTGTAGAACTGTTCCTAGATAAGTGTCAAATAGCACCTTTAAACACACACACACACACACACACACACACATACACATATTATGTGGCTTTAGTTATTTTGGATATTGTGTTTATTTTTTTTATTTATGGGAAGTTCTGGGCCCTCTCTAATGCTAGAAAGCATTCAATCACTAGCAGTAACTAGTGGCCAGTTAGTTTTGAGGTTATGTATCTTTTCTTAAATAATTGGTGAAGATTAAGCTTTTAAAAAGGTCCTAATTCTTGACCAGATTTTAAAGACCTTTTCTATGATGGGCTTCAAGATGGGTTGCTTGAACTTATCTCTTTTCCCCCAAGTCCCATATTTTCAGGAGTGCTCTGAAGCTAGCTCAAACCAACTCTCAAGAGTCAATTGTTAAATTTACAGTGTGAGCATTGACACCTTGGAAATCTGCAGATGCTCCGAATGAAGGCTGGACTTATTATTTTGTTAATGTCTAGACCTGAAAAAGTGATGGAGAAAATATTAACCACCCAGATTACACTAAATATTGTAGGGGTAATTCTTCCCCACCTCAGAGCTGGTTGTTAAACATTCACCAATATACCCTTGCCTATTCTCATTCTCTGTCTCTGTCTGTCTGTCTGTCTGTCTGTCTCTCTCTCTCTCTCTCTCTCTCTCTCTCTGTCTGTCTGTCTCTCTCTCTCTCTCTATCTGTCTCTCACACACAGTCTCCCTCCCTCCTTGACTATACTCACCTGGAAGTTTATGAGAGAAGAGGTGTGTTTGTGCTTTTGGAGGGGGAGGAGAAGGGCTAAGGATTATTATTAATTATCTCTTCTCCGAAATTGTAAATTTTCCTTAGCTTTTTTGCACTTGGAACAGAGGACTCTAAATTGACCGTGCACCTACTGCTCAGTTCTACATAGTTGGAGCTCTGCTCCAGAATCACCTGACTTCTGATCTCCAACTATTCAAACTATATTTCCCTGGAAAATGTGCAAACAAATAGGGCAATTGTTGGAACTTAAGAGACTTTGAGACTGGAATGTTAAACTGATGAAGGTAATTTCTTATTCCCTCTTCTTGATGAAGGAAACACTGGCCATTCGCATTTAAAACTAAAGGCTGATCAGGCTCATTTCTTAAATGAATAGGTCTGTCTGTTTTGGTGGTACTCAGATGTTGCTTCTTTGACTATATCAGTCATGTGGTTTTCTCACTTATGTGCCAGATAGCATGGGTTGTACCAACTGCGGCAGCACAGACAAACTGAAAAATCAGGAACGTTTAGCATTGCCACAGAAGCCCTGCAAAACAGGAGTGAGAAGTACTGAGAGCTTGCTGCGAGGATGTTCTTCAGGTTGAATCTGGCCAGTCTTCTCTTTCACATAGAAATAAGCATATCACTGGGGATTAAGCAAGCCAAAGGCATGCACCCCTGAACCTTCACAAAATCACATTTGCATTAGTGCTTAATAAGAAAAGTAATGGGCAGGGTGCTGTTTTTAAAAGCATACAACTTCCTTATTTCAAAACCAAATATCCTCAAACATGGCAACAGCATTAGTCTATATGCAAGACTTTGTACATGACAAGGTTTATGTTTTGAAACAAACATGTTTTTGAGTTTTATCCAGATACAAAAAAAGCATCTGAAAAATTTAACAGCTGAAAAACACTTTCTCCTTGCTGGGAAAACTCAAACCTTGCTTAACGGGGCTTTATGCAAGTTAGGGGGGGGAAAATCACTTCTGTGCTGAGAACTACTATGAGAAATCTCAGCATGAAAGGTTGTTGGGATTTTTTTTTCTTCAGAGAGCTGCAACTTGATCATTGGTTTTATAGAATGATGCCACAATCTGCTCATGCTTTGGAGTGAATAAGTATGATCTGATTTCAAAGGAAACTCCAATAAATATTGGAGGGGGAATGACGAGCTCCTTAAAATTATGGAACAGCGTCTGAAAGTTGAGGGCTCCATTGCCCCATCAAAGTATAGAAATCTTTGGAAGCTGAGGCAGACATTCGGTAACTGAAACATCTACCCGTATTTCTTTTATTACCGTCTCTCCCAGTGTCTTCCCTTAGCTCAGAATATCTCATGAGCGAAGTGTTGCTCCCTTATGTTGTCATGGACCTTGTTTCCTATTTGTTTCAGGGCTTCAGTAAATGGTCTGTTACCTGCCACTGTGACCCGCATACGTTTGCTGTGCAGTTGTTCAAATCAAAACAAATTATGTGACCGTATTTCCAGAAAACTGAAATGTTTTCAAGATGGCAGGGTATTAGAAACACAAATAGGCACGTCCATGTAATTGTATGTTTATACCGGACACATATGTTCAGGCAACAGAAGAGAAAAAAGCTAGAGGACACAAATATGGAAATACAGCCTGTTTGAACATGTACTGCTCATACACCCAGCAGTGTACATATGCAGGAGTGACTTTATAAACATACACAGACACACATTTCTTTTGTATTCTCCTGGGGCATGAATTAATCTTACAGTAACATACCGGCTACTTTTAGAGCATATGGGTTGGGTAATGGAAGCCCAAATAGGAACATGGTAGGGCGACTAGATGGAAGAAGAAAGAGACAACAGCAACATGCCACCATTATTTCATCGGAGAATTTGATGAAGATAAACCCTTCCTTGAAGAAAGACTTACATCTTTTAAGATCTACTCAGGAAATTTTTTCAGCACCTTCTGTGCTCCAAATTGAGGCAGTTTACATCATGTTTCAGTATAACTGAGTAACAGGCTGGCAAATTCCCTGCTTTTCTATTCACTGACATCCAAAATAGAACTCACAAAAACTCCCTCCTCTACCCCTATCCCTCTCCCCCCCAACCAAAAAACACCCCACTGTGGCCCCCCAGGGAGGAACAGACCAAAAAAACCAGTAAATAGAGCCAGCCTTGAAAGATGAATTCCCAGCTGTAACTGTAGCACTTTGCTCCGTACTGTGAGCCTGCTAGAGCTGGCACATTTTTAATAATACAGATGCATAAATGCAGCCGTCTAGAAGTAGAACTGTTGCAACATTCCCTTTTCTGTGCTTTGACTCCCTGGTATCTACAGTATGTCTTAGAGGTTTGGCCTGCTCAGGCACAGAATGAAAAAATTGATTTACCACTCTTCTCTTCTTGCCTTATTGGGACCTTTCATTATTATGTATCCCTCCAATATTTACACAAGGTCGTTTTTAACCAGACTTCTCTTTTCACTGATCAAAATTCGCCACTTCTTCTCAGTTTCCATGTGTCACTCTCACCTATGTACACATACTTGCACACACATTCATAAATACTCAAAACCTCAAAGTCAAAGTTATGAGTATATTTTTGCTTTAGATTTTATAAAGAGCGATTGTATTTGTTGATATTGGGTTCTCTTAAGGTGAACATAAAAGTTTATCAACCTACAGGTAAACATTGGTCAAAGCCAGGCTGGATATTAACCTTTATAGACAATGAAAGATGCATTTTTAAAAGGGCACCTTCCCTTTTTGAGTACCCTCTTTTTGCATCTAAAATTATTTCCCAGAATCAAATTTAATAGATGAATAATACTGACCTTGATTGTGTGGCATACAGGGGGAAAAATTTAATTAAAGGTCAGGTGAATCTGACAAACTAGAGGCAAAGGGTTACTGTCCTCAAAGCTATCTGTAAACTTGGCATAGAGAGCAAACATATTGAAAACGACAGTAAAGCTGCTATGTTTCAAAATGAAGTTTTGGCCTTTGTTAAGATATCAGTCTCTGCATTGTTAAACTTTTCCCTGAACATTTTGTTTTGTTTTGTTTAGAAGTGGAGTAGAAATCAATTTAATATGCCCAGAAACAGACCCAATTTATTTTAGCACATTCTATCCCCTTATTAGTTTGTGCCCTGCTCTTCTATTTCTGTAGATTTTCCTACCTCTCATTCTACCTCCAGTTATCCAGATTCCCCTCACCCAGGCCTGCTTCCCCAGCCACATCAGATATTGCAGAATTTTCTAGTCACTCACAGCATCAAAGGGACTCAGCAACTAAAATGCTGGAGTCTGGAAAACCAGGCTTCAAATCTGTCCTAATACGTTTACTAACTGTGTGACCCTAAGCAAGTACTCTAACCTTTCCCAACTAGAAACATTATAGTGATCTTAGAATACTTTGTAATGCACTGATGTGCTCATCTTAGTCTAATTTGTATTCTGTTTATCTGTTTACCTTACTTTATCTCCGTATATTAAATTATAAGCTTTTTTCTGGGTAAGAGCTATTAATCTTTGTATCTTCCCCCAATGCAGCACGGCATTACAAATGCTGAATGAATGTTTGGGAAGAGGAAGAGAAAACAAGAGAGGCAGGAAGGAAGGAGGAAGGAAAGAAGGAGAAAGGAAGGAAGGAAGAAAGGAAAGGAAGGAAGGAAAGGAGGGACGGAAGAAGGAAGAAGAATTGGACCTGGTACATATTCTCTGATAGGACTAATTGATAAATTAATTTGTGCCAGAGGTGTTAATGGGTGATAATAGCATAATACTTGCTTGTACACATTTATCGTATATACTGCCTCACAGACTGGTTATGGGGAAAAGTTTTTTTTTTTATTTTCTAAAACTTAAATACACAATAAGAAAAGAAAAAGAAACATATTATAAACTTAAATACAAAATAAGAAAAGGAAAAAAAGCATTGTCATGTGCACAGCAGAATGTAAGAGAGGATTCAAAATATACAGCAATAAATTTCCATTTCAAGAAAGCCTATATAATAAACACTGCACATTGTGTTCAAAGCTGTCCATCTTTTCTTTGCTTCTTTGTAAGTTTTCTTTTGTTCTCTGCTGTGCACTTTTTACTTTGTTCTTTTTTCCCCCTTCCCCCCCACAAGAAGGCTACAATTAAGAGAGGAGATATATATAGATATAGATATACACACATATATACATACACATATAAACACGTATCTTCACATATACACAAGCATATATACACACGTATACACATACATTCATACTTATCTACATATGCATATATTCAGATTTCTATAATTATATTTGTATATAGAAATATACATACATGGGCATCTATATAAGCCCATATTATACTTATTTGTCCTGTTTCTCTGAGAGTGAACATCTTCTTTCATAAATCCAAGTCTCTCCATAGTATTCTAAGTCCACCTTCTATTCTAAGTCCATTCTAAGTCATCACTTCTTATCCCACAGCTATATTCCAACTTTATACTGTCTAGTTATTTTAAATAGTCTACTCTAAAACAGTATTGATTAATATAGCTGACATATAGTATAGTTTCCCTGTTTTTCTCTTTTGATTAAATCTATTTTAGCTTTACCTTTGTCTGAGAGCGTGATTACTACCCCTGCTTTTTTTTCCTAATGAATTCTATTCCTGATCTTTATTTTGTTTGTGTGTATCTCTTATTCTTGTTCCTCCTGACTCCTCTCCTTTATGTCTACCTGCTACCTTGCCCTCCTGTTACTTAACCTGTCCCCCCTCCAAAGATCTTTCCTTTGTCCTCTCCCTCCCACTGTTAATCTAGACAAATCTAGACAGAGTTTCAAAGCACTTAAAAATATGAGCTACTATTATTATTGCTCATTTGACATACTATATTTACATAATTGTTATTTTTCATAATAATCATAACTCACATTTTAATAGCACTTTGTTATTTACAAATTGCTTTTTTCATAACAAACAGGTATAATTCTATTACATTTGTTAATAAAGTCATTATTTTATAGTCATACCTCATCTATGGGTGTGCATATGTTTGCATGTGTGAATGGAAAGGGAAAGTGAGAGGGAGGAAGGGAGGGTTCTCATTTATTTAATATTGTCAGAGAATGAAGTATTCCACATAAGTAAACTTTTTAGGTAATTGAAGTTTACCTCTTCAAGTGCCAAATATTGCTTTACTTTAACCAATTTTTATAGAAATGTCTCTAAAATATTTTAGTCATTGAGTCAATCAGCAAGCATTATTAAGTGCCTACTATGGGCTGGGCCCTAGGAAAGGCAAATAACAAACAATCTAGTTCTTGCTCTCTAAAAGTCCACAGTCTAATGTAGGTGAGAATATGTAAACTATGTACAAACAAGATATATGCAGGACAGATTGGAGCTAAATCTCAGAGAGAAGTCACTAAAATTAAAGAGGATTGAGAAAAACTTCTTGCCAAAATGGTATTAACCAGGAGGCAGAAATGTGGAGGGGAAGACTTCCTCCTGCCTCATCAAACAAAGGATGTTTAATATGTGTCTGTTTATTGATGATTCGAAGTAAAAAATATGTAACCATCTTTTATTGTACTTTGTTACTGTGATGCTCTTGGGGCCTCGGGAGATATGTAGAGCGATTTGTCCCTGCATGAAATAGGCCCAGAATTCTGTGCTGAGTTCTTGCATCTTCCTTTTACGACTTTTCTGTATCTTCTTTTTAACACCAATACGTTGGTTATCATTTTGTTGTTTCAAAAAATAGATTTTATTGATTTCTTTTTTCATTTTATCTTAGTCATTGGGAGGGAACCCTCTTTCCTTACTGAGTCCTCCTTTGTGAAAAGAAAGCCAATTAAGCAAAATACTTGATTCAGTGATTGCATTTAGCAATGTTTATAGAATTCTTCCCTGCTAATCCCCTGCCTCTCTCTCTACCATGAGAAGGGAGCTGTGTTTTCATTTTATCAATTTTTCAATTACTCAATACCTTTTAGTGATCTCTTTGGTTACAGTTGTTGTCATCATTGTGAATATTGTTCTTTTGGCTCTGGTTCTTTCACTCTGCATCTGTTCATAGACACCTTCCCACTTTTTTTTCAGAATTCCTTAATTTGATCATTTCTTTCCCATACATTATATTCCATTTTGCTTATATAGAATTTTTTTTCAGCCATTTCTCAATCTATGGGCACTTGCTTTGCTTACTGTTCTTTGTTATCACAAAAGAGAGTAGCTATGAATATGTTAGTATGTATGAGATTTTGTTTCTGCCTTTGACCTCCCTAGAATAAAAGGTACAAACAGTATGGTCACTTTTCTTGCTCCATTCCAAATTGACATACAAGATAGGTGGACCAATTCACAACTCTACTACCAGCATATTGTTCGACTATCATTTCTTGTTGTTTGGCTATCATTTCTTCTTGTTGTCAGTGTGTTTATCCCTAGCAGCCTCCTCTGATGTATTGCTTCTACATAATGGAGAACAGAAAACCAAGCTTGTTAGAATTGAGTGTAAACAAAATGTCCTCAGAGTGAGAGCTGGAGAGACTCTACCATCAATAAAGTATATTGACTTTGTGAGGTCCAATTGAGCTGCTCAGAAGCCTTTTATTTTTTATTTTATTTTACCTTTCTCTTGCTCTTGACTGTATCCTGTTTGCTAGTTATATGCTCTCCAAATAAGTAAGGTGTTGTTGTAGATCAAGAGCTGAAAGGGGCCTCTGAGTTCATAAAGTCCACCCCTCTAAGTTTATAAATGAGTAAACTGAGGTTTAGGGAAGGTGTGTCAAGCTCACACAGATAATAAGCATCAGACACAGGATTTGAACGAAGGTCCTCTGACCCCAGAATCCACCATCACATTTTCTGAAGGACCAAACTGCTTCTTGGGCAAACAAAAGTTGTGATTTTCAGGTATTCGAACCAGTTTTTGTGTGTGGTTTGTGAGAAGTATTTCATTCTTGCGCATTTCAGTCATTTTTCAGTCATATCCAACTCCTTGTGACCCCATTTGGGGTTTTCTTGGCAAAGATTCTGGAGTATTTTACCATTTCCTTCTCCAGCTCATTTTACAAATGAGGAAACTGAGGCAAACAGCCTTAAGTGATGTGCCCAGGGTCACACAGCTAGTAAATGTCTGAGGACAGATATGAACTCAGGAAGATGAGTCTTACTGACTCCAGGCCTGGCACCCTATCCACTCTACCACCTAGCTGCCCCTATTTGTATGTACAGATGTATTTTTTTCTGAGCCTAAAAAAAGTGGGAAAAATAAATCCTATCTACAAATGATCATTGAGTTAATAGTTCACCTGAAACCAAATACTCCCCCTCCCTACCTTAGAAGAGAAACAAGATTTATTTTTTGTGAATTTCTTAATTTAAAGTTTACTTGAAAAGCACTGTTATTTAGAAGTCTCTTGTGCTGCTATAAAAATGTGAAAGATAGTATGTGCTCTGTGTGTGTGTGTGTGTGTGTGTGTGTGTCTGTGTGTCTGTGTGTCTGTGTGTTGAGAGCAACAGACTAAAATGAAGAAACAGACGGGGGAGAGAGAGACAGAGAAGAGATGGAGAGAGACAGAGAGAAAGAAAGAAGAGAGAAGAGAGAAAAGAGGGAGAGAAACAGGCAGACAAAGAGAGGAAATGGAGAGAGAGAAGAGAGAGCAGATGGAGGGAGGGAGGGAGGGAAAGACAGAGAGGGAGAGAGAGATGTGTGTACTGTACTTGTAGGTGCTTTATACCCTCAAGTTGGGAAATCTCCAGATATTCTGGAAACCAGCTATGCCTATGCATTATAGTTAATTTTGAGATTCCAATTGGACATAGTGGATTTGTTGGTCCATGTGCTGCCTCACAAGTTGTACCTGCCAATTTGTGTATATGTATTCAGAAATACCTGTGAACAGACTTGGTATAGGACTAGAGTGGATGAAAGAGTCTATTGAGATGCCAGTGGGGCAGGTGAGGCTCTCTCTTTAATGGGCTATTCTTTAACACACCCTTTTCCTTTTGTTCCATTTTCTCCATGTGCTTATAATTTAACATTTTTGGTGCTTTTATTATTACAAAAATATATACTTTATAGCAGATCCTCAGCATTTGTAATAGTAGTGGTCTAGAAGCCCTAGGAATTGGAAAAAAGCCCTAGAATATAGTTTGGTGCTATATATATATAAAATAAAAAGTGATAGAGTGGGTGATCCCTGCACCTGTCTCTTCATCCTTGACCTCTTTCTCCTTTTCTTTTCTTCCTTTTAGAGGAATATATGATTGTTAGGGAAAATGAAGGGTCTTGGATAAGCTGGACTGAACTAACCTAGACTGGGGAAAACTGAGCTAAATTCAAAAAAGCTGAGATTTGCAGTTTTCTAAACCACTCCAAATATTTTATTCATACATTCAATAAAAATTATTGCAGTCCTACTGTGTACAAGGCCAGGTGGGTAATTCTGAAATCAATAAACAATGACAGTTGTCAGTGACATGCTGGCTGCCTAAAACCATAGACAGAACTGCAGAGTAGACAAAATTTGCCCTTCTCCACATTTATGAACCCATTTCTTTTCTCCTGCTTCTTTTTTTCTGCCAGCCCCCTTGGTGACCCACACCCCCTCCAAGCACATCTC